GGCCAGCAGCAGCCAGACGTGCTCCGTTTATGTACGTATTTAGGTGGCGTACTAAGACATTTTTGTTGCTTTTAGCGTTGATTGAAGGAGCTTTTTATGCTTTTTTGTGCAGTTATTATTTGTATGTGTTGTGTGTTCTGAGAATTTTTTAAGTAATGGCAGATTCCGGGTTTGTAAAAGCACAATCAGATAACTTGCCAAAAGTCGATGCTTTTATGTTGACTGCTTTTATAAATACAAATTCCCAATTTATTGGTGCTGAATTACGAGGAAAAAACAGAGAGGTATGTAACATTTATTCTTTGTAGTACTGAGGCATATTTAAGTATAAGTAGGTACCTACTGTTACGAACTTTTTATATAGTTATAAATATTAATGTTATAAACTTAATTTTCAGATCAGGTAGGGAGACGTATGGAGATAATGCTGTAGGTTATGTAGAAGTGAAAAGAGACAAAAATATTTGTTTAGTACGTGGAAAAATAACTCCAGAGCATAGCGTGAAAAAGAAAGTTTTTTTTTATATATTGACACCCCCTTACCCTTGTTATTTTTAAAGATTGTTTATCAGTAATGAAAATATTTTACAAGGTGTCCCATAAGCAAACGTCAAAATTAAGTTACTTTGTTAAGTGAAACACCCTATATATTTTTGGATTCTTCGGAAATTTCTATATATTCTAGATAATATATTTCATGTATAATATCCTATACCTATCTTCAAATGTTTACGAAATATTGACAGTTGCAAAGCGAAAAATACCTACAATTTTCTGGACCACCTTTTTTGAGACACCCTGTGTAACTAAAATTAATTTTAAAACAGAGTATATGAAAAACCATGCAACTTTTTTATTTAATGTTTTCTTCTAAAACTTGCAGTTAAGGCTGTATGTGGGTGTCAAAATATAATGAATAACCCTGTACATTCAAATTTCATATACCTATGTAAGACAATATACATAAATATATGAACTTACATCAAAATGATCTTCACAACAATAAATCGTAAAAATAGAGGATAATTTAACGTTTTTCTTTTCATCTCTTCTCATGGCCTTGGACCATTTTTTTCTGTTTTCGCTCATCCATTACTATTTATAAATATCACTAATTACTAATTGTGTATTAATTAACATAAATAATTAAAATTTTGACTCGGATTCAACAACGTTTAAAAGCAAACTGTGTAAAATAAACACGCGTCTGGTTCCACTCGACCAGAAGAACGGCAGGTGACGTCACAGCGGCAAGGGCGGTAGAGAGCGTTTGCCCGGCCATTTAAATTAACAATATTTAATTATTTTATATTAGAGGCATTTCTTAACCGATATCAACGATTTTTTTTTGTTCAATTTGTAATTATATGAACTATTTTTTAAAACCATTATTTAAAAACATGCATTTTCCTCGTTGAATCCATAGAGAAAGCCTAATATTTAGCTTATACAACAATCATTTTGCAACAAGACTATACATGTTATAATAAACCGGTATTTTAAACAAAAGAAGGAACTTTTAAGACGAACCTGTCTGTTTTCAGCCATTTATTACGAAAATCTTTCAGGAAATGAGCCTTACCAACCTGGTTTTACTAGGGAACACAGCATGATCCTTATAAAAGTACTTTTAAAATTAGGCTGTACTTAAACTGCCGTTAAACGGTAGCTTACTAAAATGCCGTTAATAGGTATGACGTCGTTGATGTGACGCACTTGACGGCTTTATGAAACATAGAAATTTTATAAGGACTAACCAACGCTATCCACCCCACCAAATACCAACTTAACCAACGCAACTAACCTCGACACTGATAAAAAATATAAAAAACAAATATAAATTAGTAAAAATCAACCAACCCCACCAAATAACCAACTAACCAATGAATTAACACCCTCTAAATAACCACGTTAACCAACCCGCCAAATAACTAAACCAATCCAACTAAAAAGAGTGAAACCAATGCAATAAGATCACGCTATAAGCAAAAAAATATAAAAAAGTTTTGGTCGGCGTGAGATTTGAATCACGGACCATTCGCTTACGAAGCGATAGCCTCAGCCACTGACCCACAGGTGCTCTTGCAGAATGCTTAAGGCTAGGCATTACTTTCCCCCGACATGAACGACGTCACAATATCTATTAACCCATTTTATCCCATTGGTGCATGAATGCACCAGCAACTTATGAAAATCAAATTTCGATTAAAATATTGTTTTGGAGCCTAGATTTTTCTACCCATTCGTTGATAATAGATTTTTGTTAATAAAAATACTTATTGAGGCTTTTCTTCTCCTCGGGTAATAAAAAATACAAACGTATAAAATGTGACAAAATAAATCTGCAAAAACTATATAATGGAATTTTGAAAAATTTCCACATTTTAATAATTATTTCCATTTTTTTATTACTACTACTAATCTGTCATGATCTTCCGTTTTTATGATAAAAAGGATGATTTACCACAGTCTCTATAAAAACCTTAATTTTTCTCCAAAATATTAGTGGTGCATTCGCGCACCGCTGGTAATAAAAATAAACTAGAAGCCGAATTTTGCCGGTCTTGACAAGTTTTGACGAACGTGTGCACAGTCATAATAATCGAATAAATGCGTTATTATTAGTTTGTGTTTCGTGTTATATGCATGTAAGTTAGCTAAGATGCCTTATAAACGATTTTTGACGCAAAGACAATTAGAAGAGGAATTGGAAAGTGTTGTTTTTGAGCTGGAAAATGATAATAATGGTAAGAAATCACTTACTTACATCTATAGTTTATAATTCAATAAAAATTTTGTTTTTTATTATTAGTTGTACTGGATGCAGTTTATATACCTCCAGACACCGATGCTTTGACAGATGAAGAAGATATAGATGATGAGAATATATTGGCGGAAACGGCAAAGCCAAACGATATTGTCGGTACTTTCGAACTTCACATCCCTAGCTCTTCCAATTCTGTAGATGTCGATCAAAATGTACGAAAACAATACGATTGGGACTCTTCTGATGAAGAAACTTTAGAAACCAAAAAACGAAAAATTACTGCTTCAGTTTCCCGTAATACTGTTCTTGCACCGCAGTGGCTCAAAGGAGAAATAGAATATACACACTCTCCAATATCAACTGAACATCAAGACAAAGAAAACGTAGCTGTAGCTGTAGGTGGTAAGACACCTTTAGAAGTGTTCTTTTTATTTTTTGACGAAGAAGTGACAGACTTAGTTTTGAGATATTCACATAAATATGCTGCAGATAATAATAGACATGACTTCATAGTCTCTAAGGAAGAATTGTTAAATTTTATAGGAATAATGTATCTTTCCGGATATCACACTTTACCACAAACTTCAATGTACTGGTCCACTGAGGAAGACAAAGGTGTGGGCATAGTGAAAAATTGCATGAGTAGAAACAGGTTTTATAGTATAAAACGAAATTTGCATCTGTCTGACAATGAACAATTAGACAAAAATGATAAGTTCTCCAAAATAAGGCCTTTTGTGGACATAATCAATAGAAAAAACTTGCAATGGGGAATTTTCAATTTTCATTTATCAATTGATGAACAAATGGTGCCATATTTTGGAAGGCATTCTTGTAAAATGTTCATCAAAGGCAAGCCGGTACGTTTTGGCTTCAAGCTTTGGTGCCTATGTTCTTCTGACGGGTATTTATTTTATACAATGCCATATGCTGGGAATCAAAAAAAAATATATTCTGAGCTTGGACTAAGCGGTGACGTTGTAATGAGTTTGTTGTCTGTTATCCAAAAGCCCAGCAACCATGAAATTTTTTTCGACAATTTTTTCTCATCTTTTCGATTATTTTCTCACCTGAAAAACACTGGTTACTTTGCTACTGGAACTATCAGAGAAAATAGGACGAATAATTGCCCTCTAGAAAATAGTAAAAGTTTTTCGAAAAAAGAACGCGGCGCTTTTGATATGGCATATGATAAAGATTCGAAAGTTTCAGTTGTACGTTGGAATGATAACTCTTGCGTAACGCTTTGTAGTAACGTACATAATGTGCAACCTATAAATAAAGTCAAACGTTATAATAGAAAAGAAAAAAAAGATGTTTTTGTTCCACAGCCTAATGTAATCACACAATATAATAAATATATGGGAGGTGTGGATTTGCACGATAACGGAATAGCCAATTACAGAACCAGAATTTTGGGGAAAAAATGGTGGTGGCCTTTATTCTGTAATACTTTGGACAGTATTATGGTGAATGCTTGGAAGCTTTATAATGTTGCTAACAATAGTAAAATATCTCAAATCGATTTCAAATCATATGTTGCACTACGTCTAATGAAATCTACAAGAGTTGCTGCAGTTATTAGAAACATTCCACAATCTATTGACGAAATTCGCTTTGATAATCAAGGCCACACCATTGTTTTCCACGAAACTAAGGCTCGAAGGAGATGTAGAGTTTGCCATAATCATAGTATGTATATATGTCAAAAATGTAAGGTACATTTGCATGTTCCGTGCTTTGCTACGTATCACCAAAAGTAATAATCTTTGTTACCAGTGGTTCATACATGCACCAAATAAAAGTTGATAAATTAGTTGTTTTTGAGCGTTTTAGTGTTTTATTTTATACTTCTAAGTAGAATGTAAGATAATTCCGATGTGTTAAGTGTACTTTAGTAGGGTTTTTATCAGTTAGGAATATTTTTAGAAAAGTTTTATTTAGTTTTTTATACCAGTGGTTCGCCAACGCACCACTATTATTTTTTTTAAAAAATGAATTGGGAATTTTCCAAAACATGAAATTTGTCTTTTTATATGTATAATAATAAAAGTATTTAAAAAAAAATGTTTTTTTTTTATATATTTCTATCCCCGGGAATAAATGGGTTAACGGCATTTTAGTAGGCTACCGTTTAACGGCTGTTTAAGTACCTATATCGTTAAAATTATTTTTTTCTCTTTGCAGCAATGTTTAAAAATTCATAGATCTTACCAACTAATATTATTTTTAGGTTAGTCAGCTTAATATGCAAATAAATGTCCTGAACGAATTGAGGGACTCCGAAGGTCAAAAAAGGGACGAGACATTTGCCGAATGTAAAAAACTGAAGAAGTCAATCGAAATTTTGGAGTTAGAAAACACTCAGCTGATTGAAGTAAGAAGAAATACACGTCTTAAATAATTATTAATGTTATAGACAAGGATAGTTTGTTAACAACACTTTTTAATACTTTTTAGGAAATTCAAAGTCATCAAATGACCATGGAAATATTACAAAACGAATTGAAAGTGTCAAAATCAGAAAATAACTTTTTAAGTGACCAAACTATCAAACTGCAGGATGTTGTGGATAAAATGAGAAGCGAAAGAAAATCTCTGGAAGAACAGGTAGGTGGTAATAATTTTTGTTTCCAATGAATGAGTAAAGAAAAAAAGATAAAATATATTAAAACGGTACTGCTTGTCAAATTTCATAGTACTAGGTCAACGGAAAATACCCTATAAATTTTGATTCTCTTGAGAGTGTCGAAACATTTTTTGTGGCTTTTTTGTGTAAGCCACATTTTTTGTGGCTTAAACGACCGTATCTTTTTTACGCTAACTAAAGCTTGATTTTCATGCGCCCGTTATCCGACGATAGGATGATACGATATTAATTTTATTGGTTGAATTTAAAGACTAAAGATTGGTTAGAAAATTACACAGTTTTTAAATTTATTACATTTTTATGCCCCCGTTCATCGGATGTACGATTTGCTTGTGATTGGAGTCATTTTATATTTTCATTTCCATGACGATTTCTCTGTTTTACTTATAGTCTAATAGCTAGCTTTAATATATCTTTTGTTATGTTCTCCTGAACAGAGTGCGGAACATCTGGCTGCCGGTAGATGTTGCGTTCACTACTGTGCATCCCCCATATCTGTAAACAACATCTCTTCACCACTGCACATCGCAAATTCGTACTATATTTCAGGAACTTAGGAGGCTAGGACAAACATATGTGTAGCATATTTAGTTTCATAAAAAAGTAACAAAGAAATGTGAAAATCGCATCATTGTATCTCTACTCATAAACGAGAAATCCCATAAAACACACGAAAATGGGATACCCTGTACAAATGTGATGTCTCGTTTTCCGACGTTGATAGGAAAAATGGCATACCCTGTACAGTAGGATGAATCGAAAAATCGAAGTTTTGAAAATCGGTTTGGAATACTGCGCAAAAGTTGCCAATTGGTATTAGAAAACTGATATCTATTTAAAGTTTCTCGCGAAGTTTTTTAAAGAGATATCGCTAAACCGAATAGCGTGCATGGACGTTAATAAGGCCAGGTGTTATTTCATTTACGTGAGGTGGTATTAACTCTCATTCATTTATAGTTATCGGATCGGAAAGAATTCTGATCGCGTCGCGTCCGCTATTTAAACTCAGCCTAACTTTGAATTTAAAACTTTGAAATTGTTTTGTTTACTAGGTATTTTAAAACTAAAGGGCTAAAGTGCTTATTTACAGTGCTTTATTGTTCAACGTCTGTCAGTGGGTTTAGGGCAACAAGCAACAAATTCTCTTAGAAGGGCTAAGTCGTCATCTGCTGTAAACCTAAGACTCTTTATAGGTTCTTTAGTATTGGAAGAGGTGGAATCCATATTTTGGGCCATATTTATTTAATTAAAACTAATCCTCCAGCTACTTAAATATCAAATTACCTAATAAAACTAAAGCAATAATTCAAAACAATTCAAACATAACCTAAAATAAAAGATCTCGCCGGCCGGCTCCGGTTGTCAAATACCCGCACATGCCCATTTAAGCAATTTTTAAACGTTATCAGAGGTTATTTAGAAAGAGCGCTTGGTGTAATTGATCCGCAAATTACGTCAGGCGGTAACGTTATTAGCGGGTGTTGCGTTAAAAATTGACTCGCGCATATCGTAACCATGATAAGGTACGCGTAAATACTGGATGACGCTATTCGGTTTTCCGATATCTCTCTAATAACAGTACCGGTCAGGCGCTGTACACAATTTTAGAGGCCAGAAGTGGGCGTGCTATGTGCGCAAACTAGTCACCTAACTAGTGCCCGATTCCGAAAATTGGAACCACGAAAAACAATAAAGAAAAAACAAAGATTATAATCTGTATAATCTGTGGTAATAATAAATAGAGTTAATCCACACACACACACAAAAAGAAGGTTTTGGAAATAACCTCAGAATATTACCGTTACTTTTTTCTGCTTCATTTCTACACGGAAAATAACATTTAGAAAGAAAAAACTAGAACATTGCACCACAGATTGTACTTAGATTTTTGTAAACAAATGACACACAATTAATATGAGCTTGTTATTAGCTAAGTTATTATTCTTCCCCACCTCAGTTTACAATAGTGCATAGTAACTGCAAATTGTGCCAAAAAAATAAATAGTTAGTACTAAAATAAGAAAAATATAGTTAGTAGTGTTACAATTTGAAATAATGATTTTCATTTAGATTTCAACGAGTACACTCTGAATATTCTCTGATACAAATTGTGAGAATTACCACCACACTTGTTCTCTATTTTCGTATACAATCAAGCATATTTAACTATTTTGAAGGTTTTGTAATAGAAATAAAAGCTACAACGTAATGCTAGTACCATTTTAGACGCAAAATGCAGCAAAGTTTTTACAACTGTGGGGTTATTTACTAGTTACCAATAGGTATGGTAGGCTATTAAGATCGGCAAAAAAAAAGTTTTTTTAATTTCACTCAAAATTAGTTATTTGGGTCATAAATGACCTAAATACAAAATATTTTCATGGTGTCTGTCTGTCTGTCCGTCGCGTCGGTCCGTCTGTAACACGATAACTCAAAAACCGCTGAACCGATTTTAACCAAATTTGGCACAAAAATACTGTGGCACCCGAGAATCTGGCCAATAGTTTTTGGTGGGGGTGGGGGGTTGGTAAGGGGGTATGGGAGGGGGTTAAAAATTTTAAAAAATCGTAACTCCAAAATTACAGTAGCTATCGAAACGCGGTTTTCAAATTAAGATTAGGAATAAAATTTTCACTTATAATATCACAAGAGCTTAAATTATTTTCGGAAATTTTTTTGAGGGCACGATAATTTTCCTAAAATATTCGTGCCCGAAAGAAAATTTCCAGGAATAATTTAAGCTTGCGTGGTATTCGGTAAGAAAATTTCACACCTAAATTTGAAAAAAAATATTAATCAACATGACATTTTAAAATAATTTCAATTTGTTAAGTTGGCCAAGGTATTGATGTTTTTGACATATATGTGTTTTGTCATTTTTGTTTGCGATTCTGTCATTAAGCTATTACTAGTTTTAAAACGTCTGTACGTAGAGTAAGAAGTGTATAGCGAAATGTCGCGATTTGGAAAAGTAAACCAACAAGTCATTAAAGAAGAAATTGAAAATATAAAACCAGATAACACCCGAAAATCAAAATCAAGTGTATGGAAACAGTTTGTTGAATTTTGTGATGAAAAGTCGTATAATATTCATGAGTGTATGAGTGTAGTACAGCTGGCTACTATACTGGAGGACTACGCATTTAATATGAAAAAGAAAAATTTTGAAGATTATAAGGAAAGTGTGGTCAAAGTGATGTGGAACTCTACTGCTAAGCAGTTGCAAGAAATTTATTACGAAAAATATAAAATAAAATTTAATCCGTTTTCTGATGTGGAATTTGTGACCGCCAGAGCTGCACGCGATGCTAAGCGCAAAATACTACAGAGAGATTCAGCAAAAAGAAAAGTGAGTGCTTCAGCCTTAACCAGTGACGAATACAAAAAAATTATTGAAATGTGGGATGAAAATACTCCAGATGGGTTGCAGCGTAAATTTTTTCACATAGTTTCACATGAGCTGGCATGGAGAGGAGGGGAAGGACATTCTGCTTGTATCCAATACTTCAAAGAAGAAACTGATAATTTCGGAAACCCAAAAGGTCGGATAGAATATAATCCAATTTTCTCTAAAACCACACAAGGTGGTTCTAAAAAACTGTCGGATAGTAAATGGTTGATTAGAAATTTCGAAAATCCACAAATGTGTCCGGTTCGCTTGTTTAGAAAGTTGATGGAAAAAAGGGGAAATCTTATTCAAACCGACAGACTATTCTTAACACCAAACCCATACTGGAATCAACCCAATTCGAAAGGATGGTACAAGAATAGCCCAGTTGGTAAGAACATTGTATCTTCATGGTTTAAATCAGCAGCTTCAGATATAGGAATTGACACTAAAAAAGTTAAAATAACCAATCATTCTGCAAGAGCAACAGCTGTTTCGAATTTGGCCAAGAAAGGAGTTGGTGAACAACAGCTCATTAAAATTACTGGACATAGTAATAGTCAGTCGATCAAACCTTACTTACAGTTGGACGCTGAACATCATCAACAGATGATTGAATCCATGAGGAGCATTTCATCAAGTACTAGCCAGTTCAATCATGATCAGAGCACAATGCAAAATAAAACAGAAAATACCCAGATTCAAACCACCAATTCAAGCCAGCCTACAAACATTTACAATAATTGTGTTTTTAATATTAATAAAACCTATAATTACTAAATGTGTTTCGTTATTATTTTGCTATATTAGTCGATATCATTAAAGATTTGGCATTGAAGATAATTCAACATGAAATAAATTCTAAAAAAATCATATAGATATATCCATCATATTTCGTTAAATAGAAAAATACCAGCTTTAGTTAAATAAAGGCGGCAGAACTATATTTTTTAGAACATGGCAATTTCGAAGAAATTCATATGTAGGTATATCTAACATATTTCCTTAAATAAAAAATATTACCAACCTTAGTTACATCAAATGCTAAAACTCAAATGGGTAATATTTCAATATATAGACATTGTAGTTCATTCACATTATGATTGTAGATCTTATGTTTACCTTTTCAACTGTCAAAAATTTCCACTAAAGTTTCGTGGCGCCTCGAAAAAATTTCCGGAAATTTTTTCAGTTGCCATGGTAACTAGTCAACATTAAAGCATGTTATTGGTTGAAAAGTAGAGGTGTGAAACAACACAAATCGTGTTTCAACAAAATTTGTAATAACATCAAAATCAGTCACAGTCGCAGTTTTCGAGATATTAACATATTTTAGTATGGGCGGCTATACGTGCCTCCCGGCGCCAATTTTTTTTTCGTGTATTTAAGAATAAATAATGAACTATTTTACATGTAGGTCCTAAGAGAGAGAGGGGGGGGCAAGGCTGGGGCCCGGGTGGCAATCACCACTCTGACTATACGGCCAGTCCGACCCTGAGTGTGCGTCCTCCTTAAGAGTTCCAATTTTTTTGAGGTACGGAACCCAAAAAAAAATTAAAATTAACTATTATA